ATGTTTACGTGTAAGCATCTCCGTACAGAGTAGAAACCACCGGGGGGTAAATATGTGTATAATATGTTAATAAGTAAAACAGCTCCTCAAAATTGACACATATACTCTCTTTTAAAGGTCAGATCTCTTGTGGGAATGTGCTAAAACTTAGCAAGTAACCAGGTTCGTTCATACCAGTACATTACATTGTACAAGGGCAATGGTACATCTTAGAATTTAGAAAAACCTTCACAAGGTACTTCACCACTAAAAGCAATCATTGCTTCAGCAAAAGGAGCCACTCTTGTTCACAGCCAACCCTTAAAAAAAACTTACTTGAAATCAGTATTTCTGCTTTGCTGAAAACGAAATCCTCACATTTTTCTGAAATACTGTACAAAACAACAAGCCCTTATTTTTCTTACTTTGAACCAGATCAGGACAGGAGAACAGTTGAAAAGAAGAAGACGGAGCAGTCCACACCAAGATGCTTTGACAGGAACCATCCTCAAGTTTTGTTAGTAACATTGACTAGTTATGTATCTGTGTTGATGGACGTTTTAGGAACAAGAAAGGACTACTGCTATGCCCTTTCAGCAAACTGCACTGCTTTTTGACTTGCCTTCCACTAGAAACAAAATAAAAGCTAGAAACATGGCACTTCACTGGTTGTAATTCACTGACTGGAAGCAAAATTGTCGATATGATGAATAACTTTAAGACTACATAAATATACAATGGGGGAATAAAACGCAATTAAAAACTAAAACAGACACCAGGAAGCAAAAATCACAATCACCTGCTGAAAAAATTAAATCACAACAACAGATACATATGTATGTATGTACATGTGTATAGAATAGATATGCGAGGCGTGCTGACAAACAGAGTTACTTCTCTTATGTTAACCTAAAGCAAAGATAGTAAATAACAAGATGGGCCACTCAGCCAAAAAAGTGTCCGCAGGAAGGAAGTATGCTCTTTGCTTCAGATGGCGCTGCAGTCTGTTTTGAAGCTCTCTTTCGTTTTTCCAGAAGAAGAATAGGAATAGCACCTCCTTGCGTGCGCAGATCGACTGCTGTTCATCAGCAGTTCGGGTTCGTTCAGTGCGGAGTTTTAGGTTATTTATATTTTAATGACCTCTTGCCTTTCATTCTAAAGTCTAAATTAAACGAAGAAAACAATCACCCCTTCCTCTGGAAGAGGTTTTTTGTCAGCGTAACCATTTTAAAAAAGCGTTCTTCCGAAATTCATTCAAAAACTTGCTAGTTTCACTTTGATTTTTTAAAACTCAAGTAGGATAACTCTGTTCGCAAAAGGTGCGCTTTAGCGAAGAGGGCGCCACCGAATTTTGAGGACACTTTTTTAATTGGCTCAAAGAGAGAAGTGGCCCCTCTTGTTATGTAGACTCATTGCCTAAAGGAAAAGTCAAAATTACAGCTCGAGTTTTTACTTTTTCCAATTTATTATTAGTATGTAATGGTAAAAGACACATTAAACTTGACAAGAATGAAAATCAGCATAAAATCAATAAATTTGACCCACATGTCGAATTTTGGCCAATATCTCCATTCATGGAGGGCGAGAAGTAATTCATTTTGTCAGCATGCCTCACATATATATAGGTTAAACACCATACACGCAGAGCAAATAACAACAGTTACATTATAACTCTTACACACTAGAGCACAAATAGTTGTTAGTGTTTGCGCTATGCTGTTACATGTACCACCAAGAGCAGCTTACTCATAAAGGAGCAAAACACTCGATTCATCATTATCATTAATTCAGTGTCAATGATATTTGTGTGTCATTGCAGTGAAATCAGGAGCTCATCAAAATAATGAATCAAAGAAATGGACATTTTTTTTCATCGGTTGGGCAATTTTAATCAAATTTTTCTTTTGGCTCAACACCTAAGTCCATTCAAAAACACATTTCTACATGGAATTTACAGAAAAAATGTTGATAAAAGGCACAAAATATACAACTTGGCAGTTTCCAAGGACACCCAAGCTTTGGGATTCATCAAACATCAGTGACCATTTTAAAAAGAGATTTTTTTATCTGTGACACAAGGTGACCCAAACCTCCTTCAATCGCAAATATCTAGACTTCTATTCAAGATAGACGGTCATTTTTTTCTCTCTCAATCTTAAGCCAGACAAATGAACACGCTTTACTTTAAGTTTAAGATGGTACCAATGCCAATAACTGAAAGCCAAAAAATTAACAAGCGCCTGATTTCAACGTGTCGTGACACATTTGCTAATGTTTATACAAAACCAGATTCATCATTCCGTTCAGGAGGCTTGGCCTAGGAGTTATGACAGGTGTCAGGCTGCCCACAACACCCAAGTCTGAGACTCTGAGATTAAAGACTAATATCAAAAAGGAATTAAAAGAGACTATTATGATTTAAAAAACAAACCAATCTACCACAACATAAAGCTGGCAACAAAAACATGAGAGCTTACTTTCCTGAAAACATACCAGTGCTTACCCCCCCCCCCCAAACAAAACAAAACAAACACTTCAAAACTCAGAGTAGAAGTGTGAGCAACGCTTTTATCACACTATCTACTCCCCTTCTGTTCCTAATCCCTTAAAGCCATCTCGTGGTAAGAACTTTGCCAACAATCACCCGTTGGCGAAATGAGGAGTAATATCAATAGTAAGAATGAACACTTCATGAGCAGAGTTGATTGGTAAATAAATAAAGAATAAGTTTTAGCAAGTTTTACAGCATTTACAACACATAGATGACCCACTTTCCAAAAAGTAGCCTTTTTAGTTTTAGTAAGAGTTTCACAGCACTTGCAACAATTAGGTTAGAGAAGTGTCAAAGAGTAGAGGTGTTAGAAGAGAGTAACAAACACAAATAAAAGGAGGAGGAGAGGTAAGGAGATAAAACGTTTGACAGGAAAGAAGGAGAAAACCACACCTGAGCATGCACCAGCCAATCCAAAGAACAAGGATTAACCAACAGATCCTCTACACTGAAGAATCACATGAAAAAAAAACAGCAACACATAGATAGCCTACAGGTGTATATCCCAAAAAGTAGCCTTTTTAGTTCTAGTAAGAGATTCACATCTACTTCTTGAAAACTTTGAACATCATTGCAAAAACATACCACAAAACAATTTGGACAAAATCCTTGATCCATAAAAATTTGTCTGCCAATGAAAGAAAACCTGTCTGAAACCAGAATAATAGCAAATAATACACTTTTCAAATAAAGCCTTTATCATACTCATAGCGCTTAAGTCTTGTACATGATATAAAACTATTTCTACTTAGTTTGGTTCCAACGTAGGGCAATTCCATGCATTATGATGTAACACTTCTGGCACATTGCAGTAAATCTTCATACATACACATGAAGGGCACAAGGGAAAAACCAGCGACATCAGTTTTCTTCATTTTCTGGGTTATTGTCCCAACATGATGCCTGGCTGGGTCTACTTTAGTCTAAGTCACATATATGGAAAAACCAGCGCTGCCAGTCTCTGTGAGGGTTAGAAAATATGGCCCACAATGGAAGAACCAGAGACCATATTTCCGTGAAAATTGTGGATTTGGTATAGGTTTAACGCCCTTGTTAAGACTACTAGGTTATTTAAGAGGCGAGACCTCTGAGTTTAATGTCCATCCCCAAAAGGACGGAGCCAAACAGGAATTTCATGTAAAGAGCTTTTACCATGGACATAATGTCAGACCGAGCTGAGGCACAAACCCCCGCACTGGTCTTATATGCACTGCTAAACGGGAAAATCATTCATTGAGCACTCATATTGCGGTAATCTTTTATATATATATTTCGAAGTACACCTTTGCTGTTATGAGACAGAAAAAAGGGTGGAGACGATGTGGCTAGCCTGCTGCCACATTACTTTCTACACATTCTGCCAGCCGATGTGACTTGTGCACAGGCCAACACAAGAAATTACTGGAGGGTGGTCTGGTTTCTCTATCATGTTGATGTCCATCAGGAAAGGTACGAAAAAGTGAAAACCCTTCACACACACAAACACACACATATATATATATAATATATATATGCAATATATGTTTAAAGCTTTCTAAAATGCAAACACTAAAAAAACCCTACCAAAAATAAAAATATAATTTAATCTTTAACCACATTAGTATGGCAGCATAGGAAGATTTCTTTCAACGAACAATTTTCAAGCCGACGAATTCACTTGCCTTTAATTAACAAGGATCTGATTCAACTGTTGCATGAAATAGAACCTTGGGAAGGAGCCACAGAGGGTGCTATGACCAGGCAAATGAAAGCTGACCGACCACATGAAAGCTCAGGGGGAAAACTTGATGAGACTTTTAGTTTTAGTAAGTGTTTTACAGCACTTGCAACACAATAAGGTCATACAAGTGCTGAAGATTAGAGGTGTTACAAAAGAGTAACAAACACAAAAAAGAAGGAGGGGAGATAAGGACGATAGATGTTTGATAGGAAAGAAGAAGGAGCAAACCACACCAGAGCACCCGCCAACCACCCACTCGATGAGACTGACCTCCCAGATGTGACCACAACAATCAAATGGCACAACATTAGGCAACATTTTGGCGCCTCAGGACAAAATAGTTCTGAAGCAACATGTCTCCAACAGAGATGCTTTTTGGTGAGGCTAATTTATACTTAACTGCATCTCCAGAAGATGTACAAATTTAACGCCGCAATCTTTTTATAATGATCTCCAGTGCTCTTATTTTCACACATAACAAGTAAATAGAATTATATATGAAACCACAAAATGAGCAAAAAATCTACCACCCTTGCCCCATCTATTGAGACAAATTTGATTAAGAATTTTGTCCCAGAGGACTACTGCAACTGGAATTGCCACAACAGTTTCGTCCTCTGTAGACAATGGAGGGAGATAACAATGAGGAAAAACAAAAAAGACTTCCTTATGTCAATGGAACCGGGAATATCCTGATAAAAATACTGATCAACGTTACATGAAAAAGCATCAACACACGGAAACAAATTATTTTCTACCATAAATGCGCTGAGTGTAAAACTACAGTGATACGATGACTGATATGATATTAATATATCTTAATTGAGTAAAGAAACAAATAAAAAAAATCTTCGCACACATTCTCTGGATCAGACATATCAAAGACCAGGCTCCGCAAATCACTCGCTAAAACTGCTCAAGACCGTGCCACTTCTAAGGATGAGAAACATACAAACAAATACAGTCAAATCTACTGGAATGGCCTCCTGTACAAGACAATCACTTGTACAAACAACCACTTTCTACTTCTTCCTTTGTGCTTTTTCTGTATTTTTGTGACACTGTCAGACACCCACAGGTAAAGACAACAGTTCAGCTTTTTTCCTACTTATATAAAATGGGTGGTCGTATTGTACAAATTGACAGTATTCATATATTAGAACAATAGACCCCTCCTCTTTGAAAAAAAACCCCTTGAGAATACTGGTATATCCACAAGTAACCAGAGAGATAATGTCGAAGAGAGATTCGCACATTTAAATTCTGCCTTAATATAAGTCAGGTCTATGGTTTAGTTTTAGGAAGAGTTTCATGACACTTGCAATGCAATAAGGTCACATAGATGTAACAAGAGAGTAACAAACACAAAAAAGAGGGAGGAGAGATAAAAACGATAGATGTTTGATAAGAAAGAAAGAGCATACCACACCACAGCACGAGCCAACCATTCAATCTAAGTCAGGCCCAAGCAGCTCAGACCACCTATAGAACACATAAGGGTGCGCTTTCAAAGTAAAGAGGTCTCTCTTCAGTATTCATCTTCCTTCAACGCATATCTTTCGTCAATGTATCATCATTAATCTGCAGAATCCAACAGAAAATTTGGAACGGAGCAAAAAAACATCTGGAGGACAGCCGGGAAAAAAGAAAATCGAAGGAACCGTGAAGCTTAAAGAACAGAGCTAAAAAAGAAAATAATTGATATACATTGAAGAGTTCATTAACCCTATCTCAGGGGTCATTTTGTACCCCTGGGGTTGCATTCTTCACATTTTGGAATACTTCTAGTGCAAAGATCTCTTTGAAACTTTCAGTATTTCTCCAAAAAATCATTTTGACAGACTGCTATGCAAAGCGTACAGATCGAATTAATGAGTACATTCCCTCTTTGGAAAGGGGTGGCACAGAGTTCCCCACGTCATATGGATACAATAGTAAAACACGATGTATGGATAGGGTTAAAAGTATAATGAGCGAAACGAGGCTACTTCCGAGTGTCCTACTCGGCCATGTCTGCGTTAGGGTCTCCATCTACCAGGTACTCGTCCTTCTGCGACAGGTTGAACATGGAGTACTTGGGCTCCTCCGTCACCTCTTTCTCCACCGTCAGGAAGTCCGGCAGGGTGGTCAGCCCCTTGTCCGTGGTGAACGTTTCCAGCAGCATCAGACCCTTACATCTAAACAGACATAAATGTTTGTTACAAGCAGGCACGTCTTTTTTTTGGGGGGGGGTTTGGTAAGCATTAGTTTTAGTAAGGTTTTTAAAAAGTTTTAGTATGAGTTTTACGACACTTGCAACACAATAAAGTAAAATAAATGCCGAAGAATAGATTATGTGTTACAAGAGAGTAACATACACAAAAAAAGGAGGAGAGATAATGAAGACAGAAGTTCAATAGGAAAGAAGTAGCAAACCACACCAGAGCACCCGCCAACCATCCACTTAGTAAGGTTGTACAGCGCTCGTAACAGCAAAAGGTCTAGGGCCAAGGGGCGGATGTCAGCATAGAAGTCAAAACGGGGAATCAGGCTTACTCTGCTCACCTCTCTAGCCTCAACAGCACAAAGTCTGTTTCGACTATCAAAATACCCCCGCGGAATAGCAGTTCACAAGAGAGTGACAAACACACAAAAGAAGTAGAGGTTTAGATTTAGTTTTAATCAGAGTTTTACAGCACTTGCAGTACAATAAGGTCAAATAAGTGCTGAAGAATAGAGGTGTTAAAAGAGAGTAACAAACACAAAAAAGGAGAAGAAATCATAACGATAGATGTTTGGAAGGAAAGAAGGAGCAAACCACACCAGAGCAGAGCTCCCGCCAACCACCCACAAAATGCACGTCCTCAATGAATTTATGAAGGGATGATTTTTTAATGATCATAAACGTAAACAGCGCTATCCACATAATTCAAGCATTGATTAAGGAGGAAGGCTGTCGCCAACCACCTACAGCAAGTGTGCATGTGTGAGAGTGTGTGTGTGTGTGCGTGTGTGTGTGTGTGTGTTTTGTGCGTGTGTGTGTTTTGTTTGTGTGCGTGTTTTGTTTGTGTGTGTGTGTGTGTTTTGTGTGTGTGTGTTAGTGTGTGTGTGTGTGTGTTAGAGTGTGTGTGTGTGTGTGTGTGTGAGTGTTAGTGTGTGTGTGTGGGGGATTAGGCAACACTCACTTGGGCGGCGCGGGCTCCCGGTACATGTCCAGCTGGTAGTACTGGTTGTTCCACAGGAAGCAGCGACGGATTTTGAACACGGTATGGTGCTGCTCGTCTCTCTGGGCCATCAGAATCTGCAATGGTGAGATAGACATTGGTAACGCCAATTGACAATATTCAAGACGGCCACCCAATGTCAAGGAGAAAAGTGGCTGTAAAGCACACAGAGCATGCTGTAGAGCGTGATATCTATATAAATAAAAGTGGACTTGGGAGGCTTCCTGCACAAACTCCTCCCTTATTACCGAACCCACACCTTTGAAAATTTGCAGGCGTCCACAGCATCCATGTGGCTAGGACCGAACTTTAAAAAATCCACGCAAACTGCTTCCCCCGATTTTTCCAAAATGCTTTGTTTCATCCTCACAGAATCTTGGGAAAGTCCGTCTTCTAAGACGCCATTGTAAACAAGAGAGGTTTCCGTTCACTATCCGTGCACACTGTTCCACACCTTTGAAATTCTGGAGCGTACAACCATGACAGCGGAATAGAGAATCTATTCTATACATCTATTATACATTTGGCAACTTGGAAACACGTGTGTCACTTTTCCCCTCAAGATTTATTGCTCCATTCCAGTAGAGTGTAAGTGTTAATGTTGTAGGCCAACCACTTTCAGTCAATGTTAATGACCGATCATTCCTTTCATCGAAAGGGGGCCCAGCTAGTGTGCTATATAAATGCAATTATTATTATAGTCTTTGACAGGTAGACGTCTTGCACTGTGCGTGGCATTAGAGTAGTTTTAACAAACACAGCGGGGAAATAGGTCGACAGACAGGTGATTGTCTCAGACAGGTGATTGTCTTAGACAGGTGATTGTCTCAGACAGGTGATTGTCTCAGACAGGTGATTGTCTCAGACAGGTGATTGTCTCAGACAGGTGATTGTCTCAGACAGGTGGGTGTTAGAGCAGGCTCGACTGTACCGTTGCATAAATTTCTGTTCATCTTGCAAGGCCATCAAGTTCTGTACGGTGAAGTAGAAACTGGTAATTGCACCTGTACAGAGATCTCCGCCTAAACTAAACCCACTCATTTCTAAATTTGAGTTCCTATCTCTATCTAAACATTTCATATTTCTTAAAACATCTGTAAAAAAAAAAAGTAAAACTATCTCCATTGTTACATATCACATTGCTCAAATATAAGAAACCCAAAGGACAGAAAAGCACCATGTATATCTTCACTCACCTCGTAATCTTTCTCTGTGATGGGCATTCTCAGCTCGACACTCTGATCCTTGATCTCAGGCCGACGAATTGTGTGAGTGTAAGTCCAGTTGCCTGGGTAGGAACGAACATGTGATAAGCAGAGGTGCCAATGAGTAGCCTACCAGAAAAAAAAAATCCCCGAAACTGAAGCCACTCTCGTCAGTTTAAATATTAAGATTCCCCCTGAAAAAAGCACGGGGGGGGGGGGGGGGCTCTTGTGGCCTAGAGGTTAAGGTGTTCGCCTCTCATTCAAAGATCCCGGGTTCGAATCCGGGTAGCGACGGAAAAATTTTCATCTTTAAAATTATCTCTTTTCACCACCGTTCCTGCTCTCTAGCAATGTCCTGTCATCTGCTTTCGTTTCCGCTTTCTGCCCCCACCCCGTCACCTCCTTTGCCCCCTCCTCTGGGCTCCTGACTCTTTCTGCAGCCTCTCTAAGGCCATTCCTTAGCTCTTTCTTACTCCTGTCTTTCAGCCACACTCCTGATCTCCTGGTACGAAAGATCCACACCTAGCCTTATCGGACAAGGGCGAAAAATCTCAAAGGTCCCGTGTGCGAATTGCGCACATCAAAGATCCCTTGGTGGTCTAAAATTGAAAAGAGTAGGCTTCAGCCGCCACCCGGGCAAAATTCAAAATTTCCAACCAACTGAAAATGTTAAAAGGGTCCCGCACGCTCATACAACCTTATGCAGTTGCGAGCGTTGTAAAACACTTACCAAAACAAACAAAAAAAGCTAGATCTACCAGTCAGACAAGGGATAATTTTACGCTTAAAAAACAATGTAAATAAACCAGTCCTGTACGCTAAATCAACTGCATTGTGAGATGAAGATCTTTCAGTCAGTTACTCCAAAAGCTCTAGGACAAGCATGAGGTGAAGAGGAAGACCAGCCATTATGTAGATCACCTCCTCCGCTGCCGGTCTATCGAAGGTGAAGTGCAAGACAACAACAAATGCCAAACTGCAATATCATGAAAAACTAGCTGGGTACCCGCTAGCTGGGTACCCGGCCGTTCGATGAACGGACTCAAAAGAATCGATCTTCCAGTCATTGTGGAATCAGTGCACATTGCTTGTGAATGGAAGCATCACTTGTTTACAATTGCGTTTTAAAAGACGGGACTTTCCTAAGATTAGAATTTAAACAAAACAAATGGGAAACTGAAAACTGACTCCTTAATACAACTGTGTACCCTTTAAATGATTCTGAACCACCGTTAATTTGTTCAAATTTGAAAGTTAAATGGCTTGGAAGTTTTAGGCGACCAAAGTGACGAACTTTCACAAATATAATAAATATAGATGCCAAACGACAACACATAACAAATTCCAAACTACGCAATATGACGTTTATCAAAGTCTTGCATCCACCTGCCCCTCAGGACAGCCTAGAGGGATATATTGTAAGCACCAAACGAAGAAATGAACTAACATCAAGATTAACCTACACATCATTCTCAAAATTTCAGCCTCATCGTCGCTGTTGTCATCAACATCACTTCATCATCAATTAGCAAACAATTTTCCTTTTTCTTGTTTTGTTTTTGTTGAAACATAACAATTACTATCATTTAAACGGGGGTTCTCATGGCCTAGAGGTTAAGGTGTTGGCCTCTCATTCGAAGGTCCCGGGTTCGAATCTGGGTAGCGACCGAACAATTTTTTTCTCTAAAATTGTCTCCTTTCACCTCCTTTCCTGCTCTCTAGCAATGTTCTGTTGTCTGCTTTCGTCTCCACTTTCTGCCCCCACTCCTTCTCCTCCTTTGCCCCCTCCTCTGGGCTCCTGACTCTTTCTGCAGCCTTTCTACTGTTACTCCTTGGCTCCTCCTTACTGCTGTCTTTCTGCCACACCCCTGATCTTCTGGTAGGAAAGATTTACACCTAGCCTTCTCGGACAAGGGCGAAAAATCTTGGAGGGTCCATGTGCAAGTTGCGCACGTTAAAGATCCCTTGGTGGTCTAAAATCGATAAGAGTAGGCTTCGGCCGCCACCTGGGCAAAATTCAAAATTTCCTACCAACTGAAAATATTAGGTGTGTCCCGCGCGCTCATATAACCTTATGCAGTTGCGAGCGCCGTAAAACACTTTACAAAAACAAAAACAAAAAAAATATCATGTAAACACATTTTTTACCGAACTTACAAACATCAGCACCAAATCAGGATAAAAAGGGCAAGTCTTGCATCAAGCCATAAACATACGGTTCAGGCTAGTGTTACACTCACAACGTCTCCTTTTTAGTTTTAGTGGAGGTTTTAACGGCGCTCGCAACAGCATAAGATCATATGAGCGCCAGAAGATTAGAGGTGTTACAAGAGAGTAACAAACATAAAAAAGAAGGGGAGAAAAGGACGATAAATGTTTGATAGGAAAGAAGAAGCAAACCACACTAGAGCACCCGCCAACCACCGACAAGGTCTCCTCTTCAGAGTGACTGGTGACCGAGTGTCAGAGCCTGGGACACCAGAGAACACACAGAACTGACACAACTCACCTTTCTGGCCCCTCTTGCGAAGTCTGGCCTGCATCTTTCGGCTCGGGGTCACCAAGTAGTCGTGAACAACGTGGAACTCTTGATAGTGTGGGAAAGACTAGAAGGAAAAGAAAAGAGAGGTTTCATACATAATATAATGTTTTACAACATCAACTGTTTTGCTCCTATTTTTAGATGGAGCAAAGCTGGAATATGCCATTTATTTCTCTTTCTTCCTCACTTAGTATTGAAAAGTAATTTCTGTCAGTGTGTTCTCGTAGAGCCAAAAATTATTTTTTGAAAAGACTTTCATATCCTAAAGCAAAGTAAAGTGATAGATATAACCTTGCTTTTTTTAGCACTCTGTGTCTTTGGATACTTCTTTAGATCAAGTATGTGCAACAGACAAGAGAGAAAAGACTTAGAATTGGGGGGGGGGGGGAGGAGGAGAAGGACAGCAAGAGAGAGAGAGAGAGAGAGAGAAAGAGAGAGGGAGAGACAAAAAGGGAGAGAGAGAGAGGGAGAGAGAGAGAGGGAGAGAGAGAGAGAGAGAACAATGCAAAATAAGTCACACCAAACACTAACCTCATCGGAAGCCACACAGGTGACCAGGAACTTCCTCTTGATGCTGTTGGGAGCCAGCCGATCTCCCGTTTCGATGCCGACCCTTGTACACACAGCCTGCAAGTATAGGGGAATAGTCAACTGTCAAAAATGTTTTATGCCCCAATCAGATCATTAAAATTTAGATAAGATATTTCAATGATTTCCAAAAAGAGAAATTTGCTGCGGTATGGTAAATGCAAATATGAACAGGAAGAACAGGATATGAGCATGAAACTAACACAGAATATGATACACTCAGCAGAAAAGTGACAGAAAGTGGTCAAGTTGGATACAACAGCTCAGCATACAGAATGAGACACTAGAATGAAAAATGCCAGTCTGTACCAAGACAAGCATAAATATAATATAATATAAAAAAGACAGATATTTCAGATATAGAGTTCCAGCATTATATATACTTTCCTGAAAAACATTGTCTTCAACTTCGATTTAAATTAAATTGATCAACTGAAAGAGTCATGTCAATATCTAAATCCAAATTGTTCCAAAGTTTTGGGGCACAGATGGAAAAGGCCCTTTTACCCAATATTGTTTTGGACCCAGGAATGCAGAGCTGATGGTCATTTGAAGATCTTAAATTACGAGATGGTGCTTACATTTCCATAAGTTCTGAAAGTTAATTTGGTGAGCACTGATGTTAAGCTCTATAAACCATGCACAAAATTTTTAATTCAATGCGCTCTCTCACAGGCAACCAATGGAGGGTTTTCAAAATATCATGGGCATGGTCTGAATTTTTCTCAAAGTTACAAGTCTTGCTGCCCTGTTTTGAATCTTTTGAAGTCTGGCAAGAATAGAATCTAGAATGTCAACAAGAAAGGAATTCCAATAATCAAAGTGACTTAAAATAAAAGCATGAACAAGAATTTTCGTGTTATTTTCATTAATAAATTTCCTCATTCTGCTAATGTTTCTCAGATGGAAGTGCATGGTTTGACAAATTCTAGTGATGTGTGTTTTCATGGAAAAAATCAGGGTCAAAATAAAAGCCAAGATTTCGTATGGCAATTGATTTTTCCACCATAACAGTTGCATTGCCTAGATCCAAACTCTCAAATTGTACATTTGCTCTTAAGTGATTTGTTCCCATTAAGATTATTTCTGTCTTGTTTTCGCTAAGTTTAAGTTTATTGTCAAACATCCAGTCCTTGATATCTTGAAGACAGTTTTGAAGGGCTGAAATCTGTTGACCTTCTTCAAGTTCTTCTCCTCGGTTGATTGGTACAATTGTATGTACAGCTGGGTGTCATCTGCGTACATGTGACGTTCTAACTTGTGTCGCTTAACGATGCCAGACAATGGCGTTGTGTATACTTTAAGATGGGGGTTTCATGCACCTGTTCTCGCATGTGCGTGCACTCGCTTGTGTGTGTGTCAACAAATCGTAAACCACTTCACATTTCTCTATGAGTATGCGGGTGTGCGTTTGTGTGAGTGTGTGGGTGAGCGAGAGAGAGAGAGAGAGAGAGAGAGAGAGAGAGAGAGAGAGAGAGAGAGAGAGATTGAGAGAATGAGAGGAAGAATCCATCTTCTTCATGTGCGTCAGCTTTTTGTATTTATTCCAAGACAGATAGATAGATAGATAAATAGATAGATAGAGAGAGAGGAAGAGAGAGAGAGAGAAAAAAAACATAAAGGGAAAGAGAGACAGAGAGAGATAGAGAGCGAGAGAGAGCGTGAGAGAGAGAGACAGAGAGAGAGAGACACACACAGAAAGAGAGCGAGAGACAGACAGAGAGAGAGCGAGAGAGACAGAGACAGACAGAGAGAGAGAGAGAGAGA